AAAACATATTCAGAATAACTGTAGATTCTGTTTAAGAACAGTGCTTATTTAAATCGCATTTGAACCAATACAACTTTTAGGGACCATACAGGGTGTTAATAAAGTTTGTATTTTATTTTAATTAAGTACGTTGTGGTGAATATCACATGACTTACAGTTGTTTTCAGACCCTCCAGGTAGGTAGATATGGATAATGTTATCCAGTATTTTTTGAAAAAATAGCATGACATTGATTTGTTTTGAATGCAATACTTTCAGAATTTAAGCATTCTGCTTATCTATACACTTATGACGTACCCGAAAATAATTAAATTAATTTATTTTCTCAAATAATTCGACAGCCCTCAAATACTTGTTTTCTTGTCTGGTCATTCTGACTGCAAATATTTCTCAGCTTTGGTGATTACTAATTGTCATAATGGTCCAGTTCAGTAAGCAAGAAATGACAGACATGGTTGCGTTTACGGAATGGCTCTGGGTAACGCTCGACGAACACGATTTCCACGCTGGCTACTGTACAAACTTTCATCAACATTCACACTGGACTATGTGAAACAGGCAGTTTCAAGAGATCCACACTTGTTGCAGGAAGAACCGCAAGTGTAATAACCATCCAAATCGAAGAAGCTGTGCTTAATAAAATCGAAGAGGACCGTACAATAAGTACACGAAAAATTGCTCACCAGCTAAACTTAAATATGGCAAATTTTGAAAGATCAGCAACTTCATCCATATCATATACAACGTGTACAAGCGCTTTTGCTTCGAGATTTGCCTATAAGAGTTGATTTTTGCAACTGGTTACGTGAAAAAGTAACACTAAATCAAACTTTTTTTAATCGGATACTATTCACGGATGAAACATGTTTTTCGCGAACAGCAATAATAAATTGCCATAATAACCATGTATGGTATGAAGAAAATTCCCATGCCATAATTGAACATAATACGCAACACGACTTTTTCTTCAATATCTGGATTGGCATCGTTAGTGACCACTTGATCGGCCCTGATTTTCTTCCACCCATACTTAGCGGCGAAGAGTACCGAAGATTTTTGGAATTTGACCTACCTGGATCAATGGAGGAAATTCCTTTTAGAGAACGGCGTCGCATGTGGTATGTACATGCATGACGGTGCTCCGCCACACTTCAGTGTGGTTGCGTGAGAATACCTATACTACAACTATTTAAAACTGTAATGACTCATACGCGTGATCAACACGTGATCAGAGCTCGATCCCCGCTTCCTTCCAGTACAGCCGTATGGCGTACGACATATGTTGTTTCTGTGGCTTTGCGGTGGTCAACAGCACAGACAGAGATGGAAATAATGGCTGATTGTTCTCCGCCGGTAGAACCAATGAAATCAAAGACGCGCCTCGACCGGCTGACTCATAGGCGTCAGCAACGCATTGGAATGTGTTTCGTTGAGCGATCGCATATTGTGTGTTTTTATAAGAATTGTTGTGTGATTGTAATTGTTGTGGCTTCTGTGGTTACTGTTTTGGTTATACTTAACCATGGAGAGTACAAATGGCACGAGTGGAAGTACTGAGAGCCAGGGAACAAGTAGACGGCTTCGTAAAGCACTGAAGAGGGACGCGAAAGAAATCGTGCTCAACGTGTTCAATTATCTGAACAGAACTATGTCGCAGGGAGATGCACTCGCGCGTTGTGAAAGTATGACAGGCGTTCCAGAGTGGACCATTCGCAGGGTGGTGCATGAAAAGAAGAAAACTGGAGCTACTACTGATCCAAAGTTTAATTTGAAGGGACGAAAGGCCGTTAAATTGGATGACGATAGCAAAATGGCGTTAAGGCGAACCGTACATTCATTCTTCTTTAGGAATGAGATACCAACCCTCAAGGCTGTACATGCAGCGATCAAGGAAAATGAAATTATACCCCAAATGAGCGTCGAGGTAATGAGGAAATCCCTGCACGAAATTAATTTTCGTTACGAAACGCGTAATCGGAAGTCAGTATTGATGGAGAGACCTGAAATAATCGCCTGGCGTCGAAAATACCTTAGCGAAATGATTGAATATAGGCGACAAAGCAGAAAAATCTATTATTTGGACGAGACATGGGTAAATGCAGGTCACACAGTTAAGAAAACCTGGATAGACAAAAACGTAGTGAGTAACCGACAAGCAAGCATTGAAGGTTTGTCAACAGGTCTTCGTGGACCGTCAGGGAAAGGTCAAAGATTGATCGTAACTCATACTGGTAGCGATAGTGGCTTTTTAGAAGAGTGTGACTTGATTTTCGTCTCTAAGAAAGGAGGTGATTACCATGACGAAATGAATGCCAGCTGCTTCGAGAGCTGGTTTCAAGGGGTGCTTCAGCGAGTTGAGCCCAACTCTGTGATCGTCATGGATAATGCTTCCTACCATAGTCGTCGAGCCGAACGTGTACCGACTATGGGATCTCGAAAAAGTGACATGCAGCAATGGTTGCGCGAAAAAGTAATCCCGTTTGACGATTCATGTGTGAAAGCGGAATTGTATGAAAAAATTAAACAGCACAAACCTGCGAACATTAGTTACGTGACTGATGAGATCGCCCGTCAATGTGGTGTCACTGTGCTGCGGTTACCGCCCTACCACTGTGAACTGAACCCAATAGAGCTCATCTGGGCTCAAGTGAAGGGTTATATTGCGCGCCATAACACAACCTTCAAATTACCAGACGTTAAGGTTTTACTTGAGACTTCCATACAGCTAGTAACGCCCGAAGCTTGGCAGAATGCTATCCGTCATGTTGTGAAGGAAGAAACAAAAATGTGTCAGCTTGACCACCACATCGACACCATCATAGAGCCAGTTATAGTCAGTTTCAACGAGGAAAGCGATAGCGACAGTTTATTACTGTCAGATTTAAGTGGAAGCGACGATGAATAAAGGTAGTTCCCAAATTTTTGACTTACAATATGTTTCAAACCACTCTTTATTAAGCATGTGACAAATCTAGTTCACCCATGTTAAACATTCATACCCCGCCTATGAACAGCCGACTACTGGTAGTTAAGTGATGTTCACGTGAACATCGATGAGTCATTACAGTTTTAGATAGTTATAGTATAGATAATAATTATCCAAATCGATGGATTGGAAGTGGCGGACCACAGCCATCGACGCCTAGATCGCCTGACATGAATCCTATCGATCTCTTTTTATGGGGACATTTGAAAACATTAGTATACAAGACTCCTGTTCAAAGCGTGGAGGACTCAAGAGTCAGAATTGTCGAGTCATGTCTGACTTTACAAAATACTCCGGGTATTTTCAGGAGAGTTCGTCAGTCAATGTGTAACAGACTAGATGCCTGTAGTGAAGTCGAAGATGGTCAATTGAAACATTTTTTGTAAAAAAAAACTATTCGATATTTGTTATTGTTTTCGTTCTATTCCAATGTTACTATTCAAAACTATTGACTTTCGAAGTAAATCCTTTTTCCAAAAATACAGGATAATACTATTTTCATCCTCGTTCATACTGAGCCTCAGCAACTTGTTAAACATGCAAAATTTATCACAGGTTATACCAACTGTTCAACAAATACGTTTCATTATTCATAGAAATATTTGGAATATTACTCGTATTTCTTTAGTGATAGTCGAAAAGATAACCGTTACGGACCCATGTCCATATGAACATTTAGTCTTCAATTGAACCAAGGATTCGATGGTTAAAGTTTGTCTACATACTTTATTAACACCCTGTCTAGTAAGGGTTAGAAATGGGTCACATATTTGAACATTTACTAATTCATCAATATTGCTCCACCTTATTAAGGTATTACTGGTACTGATGAAGTAATTACATAGTATCTGTATCACTTTTTTGCAGTAAAAACTGAATAGTATTTATTATCCACCCCATAGTATAATAGTGTTGAAATTGGTCGTGGCTAACGTGACTTACAGTAAATTAGTTTCCCCAACACTAAAATTTTTTTACGAACATATTCGAATTCAGCGTCCCAAATTAGATACCTAATAGCGGTAACGGAATTGAATTTAAGCACTTCAAAATCGCATAGGTACGTGCAAAATAATTTCGAAGACATCCATTTCTCTTGGAGAGGAAAACCTAGTTCAAAATAATGCATCTAGAAAATACTCAAAATGATTCTCCACTTACTTCTAATATTATAAATATTATACCAAATTTCCTTCCTTAATAGGTCCAGAAAATGCTTAATGTTCATTTCATTGTCTTTAACTGAACTGATACTTTATAGATGGTTCAACAGTTTTGCCCTTGATGTTTATAGATATAAAGTTGCACTAAATGATCGCTGATATTTCTATTAAAGACTTCACAGTCCTCCAGATTCACACAGATGTTGTAGAGACATGATTTTTCCAAAGTAAGTTCCTTTATGGATGTTCTTATGTATGTAACTGAGAAGATCTGATAGGTTATTTAAATGCCTAGTAGCAGATAAGAAACCAACATTAAAACCTCCACAGATGACTATTTGTATACGTATATCTATAAATGAACTAGTGATTTGATTGAACGACTCATCAAGTTTCTACAAGAAAATGTCGAAATTAGAAGCAGTGCCACTATAAACTTCAAATGCAGGCTATTAAGTTTACTTAGAATACATTGCAGGACACGCAAACTCTTTATCGATACAACTCACTATTACATTCTAAAGAAGAATACTATTTTTGGAAAAAAATGGCAACACCACCATGCTTGTAATTATTTCTACAATAAGCTGCAGACAATGTGTAGCTGTCTTGCTGGGGGAATGTAACTGATCCTCATTTGCCCATCACAGCTATTTTCTGTCAAAAATATATATGACTCCAAAAGTTTGTTTGAAAACCACTGTACGTTTTGGTAAACTCTAAAAGGTATACAGGAGAAGTGGAAATACATGTGGTCGTAGTTTTTATCAACGTGGTCGACATAGGGAAAGCATAATAAATAAAGCAGCTGACTATCAAGTATTGTTTATTATATTAATATCAAATCTCCACTAGAATGGCTTGTTCCTTGTGAATCTAGTAATCAAGTTTTCAGCCCACTTGGGTTGATCAAAAGGTACCATATGGCCAGCGTTTCTCACTAGGACCTCAGTAAAGTTCCCAGCATTCTTACTATAACCAGCTAGCTCCCTCCCAACATACCAAATCTTCCTTTGAGCTTTGTGGTACTTCTGGATGTCCCTAAACTCTACATGTTTCAAAAAGTTCAAGGTCAGCGGGTATGCCACTATGATGTCCAGTTGGCCAGTGTACAACAATACCCTGTAGTTATTGGCGACTTCAACAAACCAAGGAGCAATGGATCTTGGTATATCCTCTGACAAGTAATGATAAACCTTGTTTGAGCCAAACGTGGTACGACCTACATGAATTGCCCGTCTAACAATATGTTTATTTAGGAATTCTTTCATCAAATCTTCCCCGATTACGCTGTTTCCTTGCTGAAGGTAGTTGTAGATGTTCACCTTCGTTTTTTCCATGATGATATTGAACGCTTCGTCAGTCACCTCTTTGGATTTGATGTAATCTCCTCTGGAAATATATGTTGCAGCTGCAAAAATAAGAAAATGACAACATCTTACAGTACTTCTAATCCCAATTGACGCTGACTCGAAAAGTTTTGGAATAGCATGCATATAGTGTCGCTTTCCATAAATGTTGTATAGAAACGTTACAGTGGACCAATGGTATCTGGATATACAATTTAGGCGAAACACGAAAAACAAGTATTTTTATTGCATGTTGCTCTCGCGCTCATGCACTATGTTAGTCCATTGGCATCAAATTGGTGGTATCGTGTCGGGTATTGTACATCTTGATTGCTAAAAAGCACGATACAACGTTGTGTGCGGATAACCATGGCTACAGAGGTAGAAAGCAAACAGATTCAGTTCAGCCTTTGTCTGTTTATGCAGTGTTCTACATACCACGCGATCGCTGGTAGCCGTGAGGATTCGTCATATTCCAACTGAATGACCATCATCTATCCTTTTATTCAAAACAGACTGGACAATATTCCCATATATGGGACCCGAATTGAGACACAGGAATAAGGAAAACCATATCGTGTTGTATCGTCGTTAGTATGATAGTATTTTGTATTTATTTCCAGCGCGGAATGGTTACCATTTTGAAGACAGATGAATATCATTATTGTTATCTATTATTAATTGTCAGTGATATCGGACTAGTCTCAGTAAGCAAGTAGGTATAGTTTGTCTTGCTTTTGGTTGGTTTAATAATGGTGTCGAGGATGTTGAATTTATATTTAGAATGTAGCTGAGTTAAATATCTTCGAACGACTGTTTTTTTGTTGTATTTTATGGTGCATTTGGAAGACTTGCTAATTAGGCAATTGAATTGGATTAAAAATTTTCGATAAGGCGAACATGGTAACAGAATGTATAGGTATCTATTGTTGGATTTGACGCCATTTTTCAGATGTAAAGTATTCACTTACATGGTTATTATGTGTTGTATGTTATTTTACGGAACAAAAGTGGATAAAAACTAGGAAACCATGTTTTCTTGTCTAATTTCTAAACGAATACATGTTTTTTAAGTTAGCATAATTAGCAACACCCTATATACATGTCTTTATAAATATAATGCAACTCGAGGATAACAGAGGGGGCAAGTGTCACTGATCAGAATCCTGTAAACAATCGTCGTTTACATTCGTTTGTTATGTGTTAGTGTTAGTCGAAATCGTCAGATGTCGCTGTTAACGGTGGTACCAGAAATCATAGAAGAGAGTATTATTTATAGATAAACTGATGATCTGTGATGTATACCTTCGCATAATATTATATCGTAATATTTACACACGTTACAAATATTCTGTTTCGGGCAAAGTAAAAAAAAACGTGTTTTACGAATAATGAAGTTACATCTGAAAGCAGATGCGCTAGTGAAGTTGGCGGTCATATCTAAGGTTAAAAATATATAAAAATGTCAGCTGTTTACCTCAGTAGACATCAAAGCGCGATGAAATATCCAGAAAAATAGATTCAGTTTGACAGCTTGACCCCCAACCAAACTAGCATAGCCTAGAGGCCTAGACCATGTTCACACAGTAGGCGTAGCTAGCCAATTGATCACCATAATTCTTTGTGTAAGGTACTTTTTCATCAAACCTGCCCTTTAACGCATCTACTTTTGAGAGTTATACATCTCACCAGACTAGCGCAGTCTAGGCGATGTTCACACCGTAGGTAGCCAGTTTTTAGATAACCGTAGAACACCATAGTTCTTGTGAGTAAGTACTGTTTTGAGCTCGCTTACACCGTGTATACGTCATACAGGCGTCTAGTGGCCTACAATGTAGACATGGCCCTAGGCGGGAACAAAATTGTTGATGATTAACATTAAACTAAAATGCATCCGTTATAGCAAAGTCAAATGGAAAGACACAAGTACTGTTGAAGACGAAAGAGATACCAACGAGTGTGGATATTCGTTAAGGAAAGGAGGCACTCACCTTTATCTTCGAGGTACTTAATAACATTCGAACTCATCTTGTCAACAAGTCCAAGTTGGTAAAGATACTCCGCATACCCTACTTGATGCTCTGGGTCTATATAACCATCTCCAATAGCAATACCTTTCAAATTAATCTTTTCTTGAGCATCCGGGTTATTTTTGTGAATCGTGTAGGCCAAAGCAGGAACATACTTCCCTGCATACGATTCTCCAGTGACGAAGAAGTCGTTCTTTCTGATTTCTGGAAAGAGCTGGAAAAACTGTTGTAGTGCTTCGTATAGCTCACTTCCAACTTGGGATTGATTTCTAGCGTAACCCTTTTCATTTTCGGTAAAACTAAAGCCGGTGCCTACTGGGCTGTCTATGTAAATGACTGAATGACTGTTAGTCCAGGAGTTGTTTCTTAATTCCAGTTCCAGGTCTTTGTTCACCGTAAATGGCCCATTTTCCATGAGAAGGCCATACATGGATGGACCGCCTGGTCCACCTTGAAGCCATAATACCACAGGGTCTTTCTTGTAATCACTGGTTGATGGGAAAAACCAAAAGTACAAGTTGGAGTTGTACTGTTTGTTAATCGTGAAGTAGCCAGCATAACTGGTTATGTCCTGTAAAATTAAATCGTTATGAGTCAGAAGAATAGTTTCTATCAGTGGAAATAATAAGATATATAAATATAAGTGCAAAGTGCACAGTATGATTGCACGCGCCAAATAATTAAAGAATGATTAAAAACCGTGAAAGGTGCTAAAGAATAATTATGAAAACACGTAATATATACCAAATAAGAGCGCAGCACGCAAGCACAGAAAAATTAGAATGAAAATAAAGTATGAACGCACTTAGTGTAAGTAACAAAAACACTAGGGTAACTCGAACAGTTGAACAAAATAGATGTTATGACAATTTTATTGATGTTATTGAAAATTGTCGAAAAGCTTAAAAGGATATGAGTATATAAACAAACTAGAGCATACAAACACCTAAGGTAAATAAAATAAAGAACAGACGTATTGAGTAAAGTCTAAAATAAAGAGTATGATGATCAGAATATTAGATTTGAAAAGTTATTATCCAGAAATGCATCAAATGTTTGAATAGTTTTTTCAGTTACGTACTTCTTCATTACATCCCTGGAGGCATTATTACCAAACTGGCTAATATAACACATTGAAGAACTTCATGCCAAAGTAGTTGGGCCCGAATCTTGATTTCTGGAGCCTTTATTGTGGCAAAACAAGATTATTTAAATTGCCTTACGCATCGTCCTTGTATCCCAAAGACTTTAGCTATGTGAGTAGAATGACCTCAATTAATAAGTGCGTATGGCATCTTACTGTAGAAGTATGGATAGTAGCTTGTGAGGAGAACACTGTCGGAAACATTGTTTTTAGATTCCGGATAATAAAGATACACCTCGGAAGAGATTTGATGAGGTAGTCCTCGTATGCCGTCCATGTCATACGGCTGTCAATATAAACGCATACGAATTTTGCTGCTTGCTGCATATCAATGTCATATTTGCGTAAGCTGACAGCAGGTATCTGCGTTTTTGAATCATTCAGAGTTGAAATAAATTTATTGTAGTTCACAGCCTCCTCTCAGGCTGCACATGCAGCTAGATACAATGTTTATCGGCAGATATCAACCCTGCTGGGAAGAACAACTGGATCTATCCAGTCAGTTGGTGTCAAGGTTCATTATAAACTAAGATTGCATACTGACATTACCTCCACATAGTGATAGTGACATGTACGCAGCTAATGAGCTAACAGCACCCTTACTCTGAAATTAATTTTCCGATGGGGAATCATCATTATACAGGATGCTTGAAAAATAGATGGAGATATTTTAGAGGATGTTAAAAAATATGAAAAAGTGTTTCCGTAAATGCAGAGCTTTCAAGGTACAGGGTGATCAATTTAAATCTTTTTTTAGGAATGTCTTACAAAATATTTACTCGATTCTGTTCAAATATTAATTGTTATAATGCGATTCTAATATAGCCCTAGATAGATTAAAATTATTACGTCCAGTGGCCTCCAGGGGGCGCCTCAACGAATATTATTGATAAAAAAATAACGTCACCGCCACCGCTTTTTATTAAGTTTAATATCTGTTGTTTGACTAAGCATCTAAAAATACATCTTCTTTACCTCTCGTATTTTTTTCGTGTCCCACTTCGTTCTCGAGAAAAAAAACCGTCTCATTAAATTTCTCTGCACAAAATTGGTTCATTTATTTTTGCACGAAAAATCATTTATGGTTTGACATTTGCGCGTCAATTCTTCTAGCAAAGAATTATTCACATAATTTAATTTGCGAAATTTCTCTAAAAAGTTTTGTTTTTAATTCAACAACCTGTAAACCCTTGAAAACATCGCTTGTTCAATACCAAAGAACGACTTATTTGTTCTTTTAGTTTTATCATTCATCATAGTCTGTCTATACAAGTAGCTTCCAAGTTTCCGCGTACATATTATAAAAAATTATTGTTGGGTTAGTGAATGGTTCGATTTTTCAGTGCTTTGTGGAGTTTATAAATCAATTTATGGATAATTTTGACAACGGTGGAGTTCGGAGTCATTGCAAAAAGATCATCAGCTTCTGCTGTTTCTTATGGTATATCATACTAGGTGGTACAATCATAATTACTTCCTTAATAGCCCGAAATTGTAAATCAAGCAGGACACCATGGCAACTACAAAAAAAAGACATGAGAGTCACTATCCGTGAAAAAAACACTTGGCCTTAACAAAATTATTCAGCTACTAACTAACAAAATGTAAATTACTTCTTATGCATTTTGAATTTCTGTAATATTATCAGTTCACGAAGAGTAGGTAGGTTTCATAGTACTGTCTAGCATTTCTAAAGCTGGACTGGGAAAGTAAGGCAACCACGCAATTTCAAAATGCAAAAACATAAACGCAGTGTATTACCGTTTTCAGGAATATGACAAAACTTCAGAGCAAACGACACACCTCAGAAGTGTGAAACCATGATAGACCATATATTTTCATGTGGTAGGAAGTAAGACGCTATCTGTCATACCTATTTCTTTTAATAGAGCCCTAGAGAGTAACATAATCGCTCATTCGCCGCGTTGCCAATATCTTGCACTAGTTCCTTGAATTAATATTCATATGGAAAATACGTGTTAGTTTATTTTTTACACCCAAATAATGAGCGTGCAGCCTAGCGGCATTCCATTTTAGGTCGACACAAACATTGCATCATTGCACATACGGGTGTTTGAATAAAAAATCCGGACAAAAGTCAGTTTTGCGGAATAGCTCGTATCGCAAAACTGGTATGTGCCTAAAGATACCGGATCAGATGCTAGAAAAAGCCCCACACTTTTTTTGTTTACCCACTGCCATTTCTCGCCAGTAGTCTCGGTGCGAATTTGATTATTCTTCATTGCTCACGTATATGTTCTCAGCGTATTTATTGTAACCACAATATTTCAAAGTTTTTACAGGTAATTACGAATCGTGTACCAGTTTTTCAACATGGACGTTTCTGAGGCAGGTATGTACAACCTATTTTGTCAATTTTAATTGTATGTATCTCGATTATGATTTTGGTCTCATATTATATAATTAGATCTTGGCTAATCATACAGACAGAAAATGCTTCCAACTTCAAATTTCAGTATAATCGCCAAAGTAATGCTGAACGTTCGTTTAAGCCATTGCTTTTCTTTCTTTATAGGGCCCTCTGGCGACAAGATCATTACTCGAAAAAAAATTTACGACATTATGCAAGGGTATCCCAATAACGACATTAACAAAAAACTGGTCTATGCTGAATCTTGTTTGTTAAATTCTCGAAATTATTCAGAATAACAGCGAAAAGAAGTTATACACCTGTTGTCAAATCTAAAATCAGAAATAAAACGTAGATAGATTGTCGCACATTACATAGAAGATCTTTTCCTTAAAAGAAATAATCGTTGGCTCCAAATGACATCTGAAATACCACAAACAAAATTACGACCAGGGCGCCCATAGAAATCTTTTAATAATATTATCGAGCGAAGTAGAAGTCGAAAAACAGATGCATTCCGTGGTGAAATAAGCTCTGAAGAGTTGACTTTTGCCACTCATTCGAAGTTACGTTCTGATCGCAAGACTGATGCTTCAAAGGTGATAAAAGACCTAATGCAATCTCCAACGCGAGCAAAAAATATCGAAAAGCGTTTATTCAATCTCAAAATGACAGAAACCGGCTATCAACCGTATTAACCCCAATGAAATCATTGTCTATGTTTGAAGAAGCTGACCTGACAAGAAGACGGTATGATACAATTAGAGGTTTTAAAAAGAAACTATACCTATGCTATACGACTTTACAAAAGGCTAAAAAAGACTGTTATCCTGTACAAGAATCTTATAAAATTACTGCTAACTTAATCTTCAAGATTTATTAAATCATACTGCTTCGCGGCTTTTATTGCATTTGACAGATGTTCTCCAGAATTTAAATAGTGAGTAAAAACACACGCCAATTTTGACATATAAAAGGTCACAGCAGACAACATTTAGTCAAGATTTTGAAAATAACTTCGATTCTAATGCAAATATATTCCAAAGTTCATTTGTTCCATTACGGTTGTCTTCTAGCGAAGGCAGTAAGATATTATGGCGAAACCGTTTGCCTTATTCGACACGATTTTGCCGACGCATTCGCATAAGATTTGTAAAGGAAACAGTAGATATCACAAACGAGGAAATAAGTTATATAGAAAACAAAATAAAGTATTTGGAACCGACATAGGTCGCGCAATTAACAAAAGCTATTTATTAAAACATGTAATGATGCTCATAATGGTTGATGCGAAAGTGTGTAATGCCGCAACCGACACAAAATCCACGATGAAATGCTATATTTGCGGTGCTACATCCAAAGACTTCAAGGATTTATCAAACAAACGTCCTTGTGATGAAGGTTCCTTAAAATTTGGCTTATCAATTTTGCATGCCAGAATAAGACTGCTTGAAGGAGTGCTTCACATTGCTTAAAAATTGCCAGTGGAGAAATGGCAATTAAGAAGTGAAAGAGATAAACAAATAGTTAAAAAAATAAAATTAGAGATACAAAATAAATTTAGATTATAGATTCCCGTTTCCTTTTTCGTCTTAAAGTAATTTTAGGAGTGATACCAAGCGGCCATAAATAAACAAACAGAATTTTGAAATATTTTGTTTGGACACGGCACAACTGTACGTTGAATTATGTTCGTGGCATCTAATGACACCAACTCTTAACAAAATAGTGCTCCATGGACCCATTGTCATTGAAAAAGCTTTATTACCTATAGGAATGATATCAGAAGGGGCCGCAGAGACTCGTAATAAACACTTTCGCCAAAATTATGCTCGGAAGTTCATCAGAGAGTTTTGCAATCTCGATATCATGAATAGATTATTATTGAGCTCGGATCCCCTGATAACTGGCATGAGACCTACTCCCCAAAAAAATTACAAAACCATTTCTCAGGGAAACTGTTGAAATGCTCCTGCCTGAAGAACCTTTGTCTGGTGATAATGATGATGATGATGATGATGATAATGATAGAGATAGGAGACTATTTAGATGATTCTTGGTTGTCATCTTCTTAATAACATTTTTTAAATTTTATTATAAATATTTTCACGTTTTTCAACAATACGCATTTTCTTTCTTTACCTTCTGCTCTTAGTAGCATTATTAACCATAACAGAGCTAATCACAGTTTTTGAAGTAACTTTAAATGAAAAAAAGGTTTCGTCTGGATTTTTTATTCAAATACCCGCATGTGCATTGGTTCGATTGATAATACCACATCTTCTACATTACAAGGAAAAGTTTCTACCTCCATGATCTTAGTTGTTGAGAACCAGAAGACATCCCAAGAACGGAACAACGTGGCAACGTCGATCTAGACCTTTCCTTCGCCGTCCGCGAAACAATACACACATAAAAATTGTAAGCAGAATTCTTCAATGTTCGTTGAGAATAAAGTTACCAATTAACTCGAGTAAGTGTTCACAACATAGAAGCACCCAATACAGTCCACTTTACAACGTTACAACAGTCGAGCGATTTTTTTCAGTACCCATCTAACGGTCGTAGGAGAATGTCAAAGCTTGAGTTTGACCTAACCTATTCAAACAACCTGTGCGAACGTTTTCTTGTGTAATACCCTCTCCAGACTCACGCGCGAATCACGGCGTGAAATCGCGGCTCGGATCGCGGTGCGAATCCCGAAATTTCTTCCTACAGTTCCACACTCGCAGATGTTCGCGCCTGCTTCACAGTATAGTTCGCGGTCTTGACGAGTATGGATGGTGAAATTGCTACTGCTGCTGCAGTGCTACTTTGCGCTTTGGCATTTTATAATTACGCATATATAAGTAAAACTAGAGCAATTGAAAATAAGTGGAAAAAACACAACCACTCCCGACACTCGCTATGAGGCAACTGAACCACCAGCGAATGTGGAGCCTAGTCATGTTCGCGCTTTGCGAACCCTTTGTCGCGGGACAAAAAACCGACAACAAACGGGAACAACGCGCGAACGCGACGTGAAGACGCGAAGAATACGCGAATGGGATCCACACTCATGGATCGCGGGTAGTTCGCGGCTTCGCGCGCGAATCGCGCGTGAGTCTGGAGAGGGCATAACATATTGAACACGCGGCAGATTGGATGACCTCCTGCATCACCGTTGCTAGGCAATGTGGTTTGAGGGTAATATGGGAATTTTGAAAAGCTTACAATTTTTACACAATCCACTACAGAAAACGATTTCAGTCTTCATTATCAACATCTGACGTCAGTACCAGGATTCATTTACCTTTAATTTCAAAAAGCTTCTTCTCGCTGTTACAGTCGTAATCTAGAGGGCTAAAGTAGGAAGCATGCTACTATTACCTAGCCATACAGTCTGACGTTTAGAGCTTAAGAATGTTTGATTTTGATGATTTTAAGTACGGCCTAACAACTTGCGAGAGATTGTGAATAACACTGTACGCATTTTTTTCGTACTTGGAGGCTCCTGTAAGCTTGGGTCCCTGTACGCTGTTATACGATCTATGAAAGATACCTGATTCATAGAACTTTATAAGTATCCAGTTTTTTTAGAAGTTTTATTAGAAGGAGTTAAACTTGATACTTTGGGAACGTACGAGTCACTGAAGTGAATCTACGCAATCAATTCACCCAAGAAGCGGATTTTCAAACCAACAAATAGATACGTAGGGAGTCGTGAATATTTACTTATGAGTAAACTCAAAATATTTGAAAGACCCTCTAGTGAAAATTTCCGTTCTGGTTCCCTCTTATCACAAAGCAATGAAATTTTCTACAGATCGGCTATTTGTAACGCTAAATATAAACACGATCATAATGAAACCACGAAGCGTCATGTGGCCAGAATCGAGAAAAAATGTCGTTTTGGAATCTGGGTTATTGCGACAAATTGGAATCTGATTCATAATCTGCGCACTCGACCTCTAAACCTACATTAAATGAGAAAATGAGCCATCTTTGGGAGAGTTCAAAACAAAATTCGGAATTGTAAACGTATTGGTCTCACAATACTAAAGACAAAGTAACGTTGTAAACATTTCAAAGTCTGAGACCAACTACTGAGGCGGTGAAAATCCATGTGATCTCAGTTCGAACCAAAATCCTAACCACTTAGCCACCATATTTAACAACAGCCGACAAACAACTTGGATCACGTGATGACACCTTTTATACACTCCTATAAGTGCTCAATGTCAAACTTAGGGTACATGTGACCTAAGTGACTTCTCCCAGATTAGCAGCAAGCGTCAAGATACATACCAAACAAGAAAATAGCAACCTACCTTAGCGCAACCACTCAAGGACACAGAGGCAGCTATTCGAGCATCTTTTATTCTCCCCTGTTCTAAAAGTGGCGTCAGTATCAATGGCTCACCAACATCATCTCCATGGTATTCGACCTCTTGTAGCTTGAACGGGTTGATGTGAGGAATTAGTGCCCAAGATGTGGCAGAACAATATGCTAAGAGAAACAGTAGCCGTGCCTGAAGATTCATCTTGAAATGGACATACCCTTATTCAATGTCTTCACTTAAATACTTGGGATCAAGTTTGGAGTGGCAGATAAGACGGGTAAGATTCATGCTATGGCAAGATTATATATTAATTAACTACAACGGAATTATACCGTTTTTGCTACTTCAATTGCGGATGATGATAAGCAGTTCACAGTGATTAAAAAATATTGATAAAGCTTTTCTCTAGCAAAGATGATATCGGAAAAATTCAATTTAATTCTTAATTTTAGCCTAGCTAGCAGAGCTGGGGAAACTATGAGTAGTTTGCTAGATTTAATAATCTATATATATAAAAATGAATCCCCATTTCGCATGGTCACGCCATAACTTGAGAACGGCTTTACTGATTTCATTCATCTTTATTTTAAAAGTTTCCTAATAATGCATAGAAGATTTCTGCGCAGAAAATTGCTTGAGCATGGAACATGCACAGCAGAAGAAATGTCTCAAGTACCAAAATAGACAGGCACTCCTCTCCACCAACTTTATTCCAACAGCTATCGACAGTTAGCTATGTGAGAGAAAATTGCGTACGAAAACAGGGTGCGTTCGTTTTTAGACATGCGTTATTTCTTTACCGTCCGTACTTTGCGACAGCTCCTTCAAAAGAAACTTCAGTGTTGTTTAATTGTTATCTTTGTCAGTTAACTCCATGAATAAAAATGGCGGATGGAAATACGTTTCTTTTGCTTAATTGACTTTCACTACACAATCATTTTGAACTTGACAGCTCGCACGCCGCAAATTTATATTATGGTTTAAAAGTGTTTATCGATGAAAAAATATTGTTTGATTTAATTAGTAGTGCACAGTCCATTCGATTAGAGCTTTGATCCAGATTTCAGTTTGTCAGTGAGTTTTTTGAGAAGCATTTGTTAAACAAAATTAACAAGAGTCTAAGTTAGTTCATCAAAATGCCACCACTTAGACGTACCAACCTAGGTCGTAGAACTCGCAATGCTGCAAGTCAAACATATATACGAAGAAGTCAAACTGTCGACCAACGAGAGGCGAGAAATGAAGTTGAACGAATTGAAGGGTTGTAATTCAACAATATAGAAATTTGCCGTGAACGCCCGGCAACATCGCGGTACATTATTGTAATCAAAGTGTTTCCAGTTTTGTGAAATAAATAATGTAAGTTACACCTCCCAAGTATTAGAGGGTTTACCAACAACATTTACTATAATGCGGCTGTAAAACAATGCTTTTTGTGTCTAATTTAGTTTTGATCTAAAATAACAACAACAAAATTCTTCCGGAGCCCATCAACTGTGAAGCAACGTTGCCACCTCTTGCAATATCTCCCCAAATAAAACGAATCGCAACATGAACACTCGACTGCACAGTAAGAAACAAAAGTTAATAACAGAACGAGTCAATCGGTCGCAAAATACAAGCTACATACATATACAGGTCGACGACCCAATTGACGAAAACACTAAAACCCAGGAAAGCATTGTGTTGGATATAAGGAACAGGTTGGCACAGAATGAAACGAAAATTGAGGAGCTCAACAACACCTTAATTGAGCTGAACAAGAAAAATGATAAGCTTGCCAGAGAACTAGAAGCTAGGCAAGACACTATTGATTACCTGAAAAGCGTAATAGAAAAAGTTGTACGCAAAAGTATAGTTATGGATAATTCTACTCAGACACATCAAAAAGTCACATCAACTGTATCACAGACTGATAACACAAATTTACAATTAGACACATCGTATTCATTAAAAGGAGACATATCTAAACATGAAGGTCGAGCAATTAATACGCAAATCTCTCGTACAGTCCAACCAGAAGTAAGCAACTCATCAGGAAGTGTGGAATTGTATGTGAGGCCACAAACTGGCGCCAACACACAGAACGAAGAAAATCACAATACATCGACATCAAGCTTGTCTAAGACTCTAGATGACATCTTAACTACCGATGCTCATCCAAGCAGTGGGATTATTTCCAGTGACAGTATGACAACGAATATCAGTGAACCCATAGCTTTAGAACAACGACATGTAGGTAGTGATAAATCTAAAGTGCTGGTCTTCGGCGATGAGTTTGCAAGACATGCATCTTTTTTAGTACATTCCATTCTATCACAAAGAGATTTTATCGTAGAAGGTGTGGTCAAGCCGAGCATAAATGTTTTAGATTTAGTTTTAACTCTGTTTGAACATTCACGTCAATACGGTAAAAATGACCATGTGATTGTTATGATTAGCACAAAAAACGTTTCAAATTTCAGACAACTGAGCAAAAGCTTGAAATATCTGCTGCCAATCAGTAAAGTAACGAATCTACACATTCTCACTGAACGAAACCATATGCAGGACGAAAAGATTGATGAGTTTATTAGTAAGGCAATTGTAAATTTTACAGACAAAAACAAAAATACATCGACAAACTTTCAATGGAATGTTCAATTAAGACGAAATGCCTTAATCGGGCTGATTAATAATTACATACTCTCTAAGAGTAGCACAAATAATATTGTTTTAAAAGTAGTAAAGACAAATCAATTGGCAACTGTCAATAGCTCAGTTACTTCTCAGTTTTTTCGTACCCAATAAAGAAAGAATCTCTAAATTTAATTTCAAACTTCTTCACCTCAACATACAGTCTTTGCGTCACAAATCAGATGATTTAGCAGTGTTAGGATCTGACAATCAGTATGATGTGCTGTGCTTGAATGAACATTGGTTGTCTGAGGGTGAATTCATTGTTAATCAATTAATAGGTTATACACCAGTATCAAGCTTTTGTAGAAAAAATAAAACACATGGTGGTGTAGCAATCTTTATAAAAACCAACGTTGATGCGGCGCCTTTGCCAGATTCAGTTTTTGTAGAAAAGGAAGAACAGACTTTTGAGATAGCAGGCTCTTATATTAACAATATTCAAATTATTTCGTTATACAGAAGCCCTAACAGCGATTTCGATACATTCCTTAATAAGTTATGTACTACACTTGATCGCTTAAATTACGAGAGGGATATAGTCATAGCAGGCGATTTTAATGTGAAATTCACCACCAATGACACTCGAGCACACCAAGTCGAAAGTCTATTTCGCTGCTATGGATTGAATAAAAAAGTCAGCACCAGTACTAGGAGGCATAACTGTCTGGACAATATATTCACAAACATAGACAGGCCCTCCGGTGTCACAGTTTTTGAGAGCTATCTGTCTGATCACCTAGCAATTGAATTTACATGTGAGCAAAGTAAGAACTTACGAACGTTCAACAGAGTTACTTTTAGGCCAATTACGGATGAGGGTCTTTTCAATCTGTACATGGAAATTGAGAAGGTTGACTGGTCATTCATCGGGGGAAATGATAACATCGAGCAAGCCTTTGAAACATTCATTCATCTAATCAGCAGTAAAGTTGAAAAATGCCTTCCATATAAATCACGTATCTTTGGTAGTGATAATAAAGGGGGAAGAAAAATAAATTGGTTTGACAGTCATTTGCATGCTATGAGAGACCGTTTGAGGCTCCTGATGGATTGGTACAAGGTTAACCCACAAATAGTTACCAAACAAGCTGTTAACGAGTATAGATCACAATATCGACAGGCTATCACTAATAGCAAAAAACAAGCACACGACTTGTATATAAACAATTCGAGCATAAGCAGCTAGCAATGTGGAATATTATTAGATCCAATGTTCCAGCTAATAATCAGAACAAAAGCAACATCTTGAATGCTAACGGATTCAATTCATACTTCTCAAGTATAGCGCAGACGCTCATTGACAATATTCCTCCAGCAAATCGTGATGCACTAGACTACTTGGTTCATACTGATAACATCGACCTTTTCTTGTTCAAAGAAGTATCCTACAATCAAGTCAGATCAGCGATTTCATCACTAAAAAATTCTAAGAGTACAGATGTACATAAATTGAATTCAAAAATTATAAAGACCATAATGAATCTGATTATCGTTCCACTCGCTAAACTTTTTAATATTTGTATTCGAAATAGTACTTTTCCTAAAATTCTCAAGATATCCAAAGTCATTCCAATACTTAAAAATGGATCGGCTGATGTGCTTTCCAACCATCGACCAATTTCTCTAATCTCATACTTTGCTAAGATTTTTGAAATTCTGCTAAAAGATCAACTAACCTCTCATCTAGAGTCAAGTCAATTATTTAATGACAAGCAGTTTGGATTTAGACGGAACAGATCTACTACTACAGCTATCAATTGTCTTATAGATCTTGTTAACGAAGGATTTGAGAACCATCTACATACCAAGGCGGACCTTTTCGATTTATCTAAGGCTTTTGATTGTCTGCAGCATAGTATTTTAATAAAAAAATTACCTTATTATCACATTCATCCTTCTAGCATCAAAATTTTAGACTCTTATTTATCCGACAGAAAACAACTAGTACATTTCAATGGCTGTAACTCTGATACCAGATCAGTGATCCATGGAGTTCCTCAGGGTTCCGTACTGGGACCACTGCTGTTTTTATTATACATTAATGACATCCCCAATAGCCTGTCAGATACGCACAATGCTGCTTTGTTCTTATATGCTGATGACACTACTTTGGTAAATTCTAATAAATATGTAAACACCCTTGTCGAAACTAGTTCATTGTGTAAGTCGAACCTTGAGGATTGGTTTGCTGCCAATATGCTATTGCTCAACACTGATAAAACTCAGTCTATAATACTAAGCTTACGCAGTCATGAGTTGGAATCTGCTCAAACAGTGAAATTGCTAGGCGTTCATATTGACTGTACTCTGACATGGGAGGTGCATACGCGCTGTGTGGTGGATCGTTTGTCCAGAGTTATATATCTCATACGTAGTCTAAAGGATATAGTATCTGATAAAGTTTTATTAACTGCTTATCATGCATATTTCCACTCTAAAATGACATATGCAATTTTGGTCTGGGGACACTCTCCACATATGCAAAAAGTGTTTGGCATGCAAAGGCGTTGTATACGATACAT